TTCTCGGCGCGCAGGGCTGACTCGCAGCGCTTCGAGCCGACTCGCATCGCTTCGGGATCCTCCACCGCTGGATTCTCGAAGATGTAACGTTTCGGAGGGGCCCGCATGAATGAGTAAAGAACTCGACTTTTCAGGAGGATGAGGAAGAGGAAGAGAGGGACGAGAAGGAGAAGAAAGAGAGGGACAAGGAGAAGGAGAGGAAGGATCCTTAAGGAGGAGGACCAGAGCTCTGCAGAGCAAACCTAAAATGCATATACGAAGCTGCAATACAACCTCCCGTCTGAAGTCCCGTCCTCACACCGCCGCTGCAATTAAGAACGCCCAGCCAGAGTGAAAGTTCACACCGACGTGCTCAGAACCCCCGTGTCTCCAAATTTCAACGTCGAAGCTAGGCGTGCCTTTGCGGTTGGGTTCTGGACGTTCACTGAATGTGAATGCCTGCACTCCGACAACGGCCGCCAAGGCAACATTGAAATGGGGGGATCGGGGGGGAAGCCGTCGAGGCAACATGTTTCGATGGGCCTGTGGTTTGCCAACAGCGGCAGGCTCCTACGAGCATGTCGCTTCGCTGCGGGAAGCGCCCGCACTGACCGGCGAGTGCCCCACAGGCGTGCAGCTTCTGCGAGGGGCTAATATGAGCAGGAGCCGCCCTCCTCGGTCTCAGAGATGCCACGATACATCGTGTTGGCAAGCGTGGACCCAGAACATTGATGTGCACACTGAGTGTGCAAGCTGGTGTATGATATGCGGGGCACGGCTGTGTGGTCTAAGCTGTGCATACCCTGGGTTTCTTAGTAAGCGTGGGGGGGTTACCCCCCCGACGCGGTTCAACCCCGCCTCGTCGTAGCGCCGCGACGGGGGTCGGAGCGCCTTCGGCGCGCGGTGACTACCCGCGACGGGGGTCGATGTGGGGCTGTCGGCGGGGGTGGCGCCCCCCGACGCTTATTGAGGAACTCGGGGTACAGTATAAGCCATTGAATGCAAGATATGCGCGGCGTAAGCTGTCTAGGCGATCCGACACCTTTGGTGTGAGCTCTGTTGTGTCGGCTATGTTAGCCAGCGTGGACCCCGACCAGTGCGCTATTGCGTTGTGGGAATGACAGCTACGCGGTGCAAGCTGTGTGGTATGAGCTGGCGAAGTGGAAACTATACGGTGCAAGCTGTGTGGCGTGAGCTATGACGTATGAGCTTGGTGGTGCGACCTGGAAGTGAGAGCCTATGGGGTGTAAGATATGTGATGCCGGCTGGATTGTGCCATGTCTATGTGTGCGGCGACAGCTACACAGTGCAGGTGATCTGTTGACAGCTCTGTCGCGTAAGCTCCGCGCACGGGGCGCCCACGAGGCAGCACGGGCGGCAGCGCGGCGCACCCTCGGCAGATCCCCAGAGCGGACGGGGCGCCCAAGGCCA